TAATGCTGTGCTCAACATCTACCGCAATCGCTAGCCAGATTAGATCAGAGAATTCCGATATATTGGTTATCGCCAAATACACTCTTCTGATCTCCTCGACTCTGTCTTTTGATTTCTCTGGGTGGTTACGAATTATATTAGAAGGTGTTACTGGTAGAAGCGTTGTCAAACACCTGTGACATCATCAACCAAATATATGAAATGGCTTTATGGATAAAAATACTGACCCAAAACTATGACGAACTCACCGAATTGGACAAGTAATTTTGGACATTAATTGAGTATTAGTAACCAAATGCAATTTAAAGGATAGCGTATAAACTAGTGAGTATAGCGCTTCATCACGCATGAGTATATATATTTCCTAATATCAAGCAGTGGTCTGAATATATCCTGTAAATACATAAAGTAAGTGAGTTATAGCATCCAAACAAGATATCATTAATAGAATGTAAATATGAAATACAATTCTTCGTCGAATATGATTATATATGGTTTTAAAAATGATAAAGCATGGTTTTATCGGATAGCCAAAATCAGTGTGCAATTACGTGGTTGTGAGTTATATGAATATGATCATATATATCATGAATATGTTAGACTGAGATCTTATCGTATAGTATGAAACTAATAGTTTATATGTAACTAATTCAGAATTGAGTTTTGTTCCGTTATTCCAAAAAAAGTAATCCACCCAGATCTGTGAGAATCATGGAAAAGAGCAATGAAGGCTTCGTCTTAATAGTAACGTCACATTCGTTGCTGTCGTCGTCAGCAGCTATAGGAATTTGGTTATATAGTTTAACCAAGTCGATTTTCGAAAAAATAGTTGTACCTTCCAGCGTAGCTGTCAAATCGTGAATGTGAGGCAATGAGTAGCGATCAGGAATGGTTTTCACATCCTGTCACCGGTAATCGCTAGTTGGACGCCAGTCATTGCTGCCCTTTGTGGGGACCATATGCAAGGAGATGCCCTTGGGTTGTTTGATGACTGAACGGTTATTGAATCTATCATGTGATCAAATCCGTTTTTAGCCAACCTCAGCTTAGGGAGCTAGTGGGTGCGCATTCGAGAATACAGGTGGTCATATAGTCGTGATGTGATGTGTAACGTTACTGGTTACACATGGCAATTTCGGTTGAGTTTGGTGTGTCTCAGAGTACTTATCGGGTATTCGATAATAGTATGAATCTATCGTTCGCTTTGACAGGGGATAATCTACACGGAAAAAGAAGTTACACAAAGAGATGACTTAGTGTTCACGTCTACTAACCTCCATTTTCCCGTGTCGATGAGTAACATTTGATATTAGAGCAAGTCTATACAGATGATTGGCATAAAAGCATGTTCAACGACGAAAATCTAGTGAATGGGTTCGTGCAAACCCACGTTGAAATAGACGTACCGTTTATCATATTTGGCGATCGGTTTAAAACCTGTTCGTGCAGTCGGTCAATACAATTCGTTTGAAGAACGCTAAAGTCTGCTCCAGTGTCGACGAAGTAGTGAACTTTCGTCATCACATCATTAACGTCTATGTTCGCCGGCTACGGTTGCCGTTAACGCATGCCGGCTGAAAAGTTTCCCGAAAGGTTTATCGTGTCGGTCGGTTTGGAGTTCAGAAAACTGAAGGGTCTCCTGCGACTTCGAGATTTTCCGTACTGATTGTGATATTATCACCAGTCGAGGTTATCTGTCTTTTGTGGTCTAGAGACAGATCGTTTTTGTAAAGATCTCTTTCGAGGGGTTTGTGATTATTTACGGTCCTTACGAATATGAAGGCCACCTGTCAGCGTATTACAGAGTTCCGTAACGTCATTCTGTGTTGTTTTAGGTTTTTCTTTGACTGAGAAGTCTTGGTGATCCCGAAAATGTAGTCAGCAGATGTAGCCATCTCGTCTACAGCGTGGATGTGAATCGAGATAGGCACTGCCTGCACCGACTGAAGAGGCTTAGACAAGAAATGCTGTCGAAACAGGCCATCGCCGAAAGTCTTTTGACCAATTACCCCTCTCATTCGTAACAAAATGTCCGCTGCTGAGCCATGATATAGGTCGATGCTACTGAGTTGATCTAACCTCTGTTGTTCGGCTAGACCGTTTTAGAGCTTCATAAGGTTCCGAAACATCACTAACAAACATACTAAGCATGACTTACCTGTTGAGTTCACGCAAAAGTGCCTACACTACTGCGAGGAATTGTGCGCATGGATCAGTCACGCCCCGCACGAAGATAACAGCCCCTGCGTAACAGAACGAGGCTCTGATGTTGTGAGGTCAGAATGACGTTAGTTGAAATGAGGGTGGTGTAAGATTCTTGATCTTAAGTTACACAGGAGTCTCTTTGGTCGTGACGAATATAAAGTATAGGAATGAGCGAGGATAAAAAAATACCCAAAGATTAGTACATTGTCACAATATATAAAAACTAGAGTAATGTGATGATATATGATATTCCAAAAACGAACAAACATGCAGTTTACGAGTTGTTGTGCCAGATCACGTCGGGCCAATCAATGAAGACGCTACAAGTATTTGGAGTTTGACAACACTTTAACCAGTAACACCCTCTATAGTTGAATCGTGCTCACTCAATGAAACTAAAAGTCAGAAGCGAGAAGGTTCGAAGATATATTTGATGGGATGTCATTATTTCGAGATGTGACTAATTTAAACTGGCTAGCGGTTGCAGGAGAAGTTGCTCACGGCGTTCCCATTCGTGATCTGGTTCGGATGCGTGAGCGAGCGCCTTCAGCTAGGTCAGTCCATTAAAACTAGTTTGTTCGGCACCAAATGTCGAAGACTAGCAGAGCTATTGATTTTGGAGATTTATTTACCGTCACAAACTCGTAGATCAAATACCATCTGAAACAAGCGTGGATCTAAAATTTTACATGACCAGGCGATTCATTCAGTTAAACTTTTCATAATCTAACCATAATCTACGGATATATTCCTTCAGCCCGCCTTGGGGTTAGTTACGCCAGTCGTGATTCATAAAACGGACTTCTCGAAGTTACATTTGGAATACTCAACAAAGTTTTTGTCGCAAACCTAAGCACTATTAGATCTTCAGGAATGTAAATGTGTACGAAGGCTACATTGATCAGCTTAAAGCCACTTACTCAGAAGACAATACCCCCTCTTTCCTCTTTCTGACTAAAAAATCGAATGATATAATTCCCAAGATTACGAAATAGTTTTCACTCCTAAGCGACTACAAAGAAGCTTTACTGGTATCAGATAAGTGGCTGAAAATGACGCGCTCTGTAGGAACCCTAAAGTAATCAGGGAACTACGCTCTGTGTAAGACATTTCCGAACCTTGCTTCTTTTTCTCTTATCCTCTGTTATGCAGATTATCAGTTTCATTTTGAAATTTTATTGTGTCGAAAACGCAAATAGTATAACTTTTAAAAGTATCTTCACATGTTTATAATAAAAAACCAGAAACCAGGATATTTTGAACCAGCTCATATGTATACACTTTCCTTTTGTAAACAGGCAAAATGCAACCTTTCGGTCTATGTATTCTTTTGTCCGTTACACGTTGTAAGTACATGTAAATACCAACTTTCTTTTGCGTGGTTCACATATTTTGGCCCAAACAAGTATATCCGACACGCGTTCGGATTTTCTTCCGTTTATTTCACAAGACAACTTTCATGTTTGAAAAGCTGATGATACAAACGACGAACGGAATATATTGTTTAATAACGAGTTTTATGTAAACTACTATTCTTTAAAGTAGGAAAAACTAACATGAGGTGTTAAACGTGGTACGCTATTAGAATAATGTCTATCACTGACAAGATTGTTGGATTTGGACTTCCTACTGACCACGTCTTACGGTCCTCACTATACAACTAGAGGGGATGAAGTGCAATTGTAAACAAGTCCCCCAAACAAGGTCTCAATAATATCATTGATCAACCCCCTAGCCGTAGGCGCTCGGTCACACATTTGTACGAGATCACATTTTAATACATTGTGTTGGGTTTTTCTTATAACAACCAGTCAGCTTAGATTTGGGAATTAGCAGTCACTTTTAAAATGTACCTTCATACTCTTTATTCCTGTCTCCTGGTTTGACTGATTTTAGACTCTCGAATAAAAAATCTGTACGACAACAACATTGTCAGGTACTTGCAGCGATAAGTATATCCCCAAAATAAATAGTTCTGTAAGCCTCCGACACCTGATGCTGATCGCATAAATTTTACTCGACTGAAATAAGTGAAGGTGTTCGGTTGCGTATCCGCATCAGATGTCGAGTGGGCACACCGTGCCACGCATCCCTTGTAACAGCTAGCCAGTTTAGACCAAACGCTTCTCAACGAACTGATAGCTTTCCAAATATATCTTTGAACCCCATTCATTCCTGACTTTCTGTTTGATTGGGTTGGCATACTTCTATCATAAATTTTTTACATGTAAAAGCGTTGCAAACATCGAATGCCTATGCTATCTTTATACTGAATATCCATGAGATCTTTAGGTTTATTTGTCATATCTCTTATTTAATTATCTTCTTGCAAATTTCACAATTTTCTTATTACAGTCAGCGATCTTCCTGCCTATTAACGTGATACTGGTTCTATATCGCAGATCCTCCGTAGCAAACGCATCCACTTTGTCTTAAATAATATTAAATCATATATTTGTCCTATGAATTCAAGCTAATAGAACCGGCTGGAGAGTTATGATAATTCGAAGTATTTGAATTAATGTACTAACTATGAATTCCTGGAATAATAAAATTTACAGCAAGTAGAACAAGATAAGCACAAAAGAACGTATTGTATTTGGAATTCGTTGTCCAATGTCTTTCAAATACGAATAGTTCGCACAAATACCATATTATCTCACTTTTTATAGATTATGATGAAGACCTTGAACCGTATCAGGTACACCGAGAAGCAGCACAAAGTATTGGAAATTGAGAATGAAATTGGCGCTACAATGGCCTTGCAGTATATGCGATGTTCTCCTTTCTCTAGAATGTTAACGCGTTATGCTCTTTTCCAATGTCGTTTTATAAAAAATCTTAGTCTAAAGAGCTTTCATACGGGCTTTCAGAATCACATGCCCCTCATACCCATGGTATTAGACAAGACTACAAATGTTGAACGATATTATGACATATATTCCCGTTTATTGAAGGACCGAATTATATGTCTTATGGGTGCAGTCACCGATGAAATAGCTGGGTCGATTATCGCACAACTCCTGTTCTTACAATCAGAGGATAAGAAGATTCCTATACACTTATATATTAACAGTCCAGGTAAAACGGGTTTTGTTGCCACACTGTCTTTAGGAGGCGTTGTTACTGCAGGTCTAGCAATTTACGACACTATGCAGTTTATTAGACCACCAGTTGCTACTTTGTGCATAGGTCAGGCTAGTAGTATGGGTTCTTTGTTGCTAGCAGCTGGTTCACCTGGTTGTCGATTCGCTCTTCCTCATTCCCGTATAATGGTCCATCAACCATCTGGCTCTGCCCATGGTGAGCTTATTTAAAATATTAACTCCTCTCAGGTCAAGCATCGGATATTAAAATTCAGGCAGAGGAGATAATTAGGACGCGTAATGTTATAAACACTATATACGAACGACACACAAAACAGTCCCAGGAAGTAAGCTATGCCGGCAAATGTTTCTGTGTAATTTCCCTAAAATTCGTCTTATTTCAAGTTTCAGGATTGTCAGATATTTCACTGAGTACTTAAACCTATAATACTATCAGTTGTCCCAGGATGATGTCTGAAGTGGCCTCAATACTTTAGGCAAGCTATCAGCTACCAGTGTGACTGATAAGTATTAATTCTAAGGATTGAAATGTCTTTCGGTCTAAAGACTAGACCCATATAGGGAAACTTATCTCCAAGATTAGGTTCCACTTTTAGCAAAATCTACCTGTGACCTCATTCTCGATTGTCGATCGAATCGTCGCATCAGTGTACTTGTGACTGATATAAGTGTGGGATTTAGTTATTCGTCTGTACTTTGGGTTAATATCATAGAAGCTGGTTGACGTCCCATCACAGTTTCGCCTAACCTGTCACTTTTGGGAGTGGGTAAGTAATAGTGATTAGATTATGTGACCATAACTTAATTTCTGTTTCTTGGTTACTCACAAGCTATTAAAAGCTTCGTCACGGACTCATTTTGTAGTGCTGACGTTTAAAATTATTGTAAAGCCATATCAACCAATCTGAAACGTATCTGAGCCTAAATGAGGGGGTGAATCTTTTAGTGAATGTATCTATGATTAGCAAGTCTCAGTTTCATTCGATATCCATCCACCCTCATTCTTTTAGCCAGTAAGCACTATAATTTTGAGAATATTTCGAATAACGTTTTGAATGTTAGCAATTGATAACACCGCATATGTTATTGTTTTTGTTTGGCGAGCGATGCCTTTTTCTGTGAAGCACTTAGCCATACGAATGTTTATTCATCTCGTTTGCCAGGTGCAGATTCATGCACACTATGTATCCAAACTAGTGATATCACCTGGTTGCATAATTCGAAGTAGGTGTGGCTGTGTTCGGACCTGCGACCCAGGGACTAAAGGTCAAACTCTAACTTCTGAGCCTTCTCTTCATACATATATGTAAAGAAAAACATCTGTTTACTCTGATACTGCTCCACGTCCTGTCAGTACGAAACCAAAATATTCACCTAACAACCAATGTCTTTCATCTTTTGTTTGGGGTTCCTCGTAGTTTTGTCAGTTATCAAGTCTCAACCGTGCAGTTATATTTTGTAGTTTTGTACGTTTTATAATGATTCTCCAGACGAAGCTATTGAACATATTAATTTTTAAATTATAAAAACTGTGCTACTGACAGATGTATACTACATTTTACTTATGATGCCGATTAGATATTATTATTATGGAAGTTTTTAGTCGAACCGTCTTAATAAATCACATGAGTTTTAGCGGTCTTTGATTATATAGTCGTTGATAACTACCGAGTTGGACAGTGTTTGTACTCATCTCCATTCAGTCCCATCTAAAACTACGAACATAGAGATAAGTAGCGACCCATTCAAACATAAGTATTAAAAACAAAACTACCTGAATAGTCGGACTCTTCTATTGACAAATATTAGTAGTTTTTTGTCACATCTAAATTCTGTAGAATGAGAAGAAAATATAAATTGGGATTTGCATAGACGTAGAAACACTATCAATATCGAAAAACCGAAAAAAATACAGTGACAGGAAACAAAAGTTAAAAGTTTAGGATAAGTGTTCACCTCAACACTACTGCTTATTGTTTCAAGTTATTTTAAGGCGTCAATGCATTCCATTTCATTACACAATGTAAAAATTCGCGGTTTCTGAAAGTACTCGTGAGAATAGTCAAGTACTTGCTTAACTAGTCTGATACTTTGGCTTATCAACTTCAAATTTTTCACCCAGTTCTTATTCTTCCAAGTGCTAGTTACAAGGTAGCGAGTAGATTAAGATTCGCATCACATCCTCATAACTCACATTGTGGGGACCATGAATTTTTATCCAACCTTCCAGTATAAAGAAGCCAAATAATGTATATAACCTTTATTATACGTATACTGGATGAACGCCAAATAAGAAATTACCTGTTTCAAAAGTTAAGTTTTGTTTTCGAACCTTGTTCACAGTCGACGTGTAAAAATTCTAGTTCTATAAATGTTAGTTTAGTATGAAACAACATAGAAGTTAACCAATCTCTTTCTGTTTACATATGTTGCAAGTTGTTTACTGCCTATTTAAAATTGTTTCTTATGTTGCTTTGTTTAATGTGTTTGAATAAAATTTTTTCTAATAACACCAAGACTAAGTAATTGCAAACATGCTTTTCGTAATACATACAAATTTAAGTATTTTTAATATTTGGTTTTTATTGTATGAAATAAATATAGTACTTGGTACCTGCCTCATTTCTCACATTGGTTTTTTTACTGCAGGTGATAGAAAAGTGGATGGACCGTGATTACTTCATGACTGCAGAAGAAGCAGTTTCATATGGAATAGTCGATAGGGTTTTACATAAAGCTCCTGCTGAAAAAGTGGATGAAAATGTGGATTCTAAATCTCCGCATTAATTTTGAATGTAGTGGCTTCAGTCGACGAGAAAACATTTTCCACAACTAGTATTTTGTTTATAACACACATGACCCACGTGATGTAAACTGGATAATTTCCCGAGCATATATTGTATTCCATAAATATATGCTTATATTTATACTCGTAATTGTGCTTTTTTGCATGTGGTTTGATATTTTAGCGGCATGTATTATGTGACTGCTGATTTCATGCTTTTGTGTACCATTATGTGGTGGTTAGATAAATTTGCTTTTGAGGTCATTTTTTGTGCATTTTGTCATAACTACGACATGTTTTGGTTTTATTGACGGGATTATTCACTCCATAGGTATATAGATAATATCATATATTCCTAATTCCTACAAATTGTTCAGAGAACTGCACACTTAAAATGTACTCTTGTCATGACCATATTGTACACAGTTCACTCAGTAAACTATCGGTTACGGACTATCACGTTCAGAACTTGTCAAAAGGCGGCCGGACCCTTCATTATTTGCTATTTTGGCTTTATCTTAACCTTCGATAAAAGTCTGAAGATCGATGCTATTATTGCACTCTGAGTGTAGCTAATTACTAAAAGTGAACTATCAAAAGAGGTCCTCCAATCAGTGTGGCATCATATTCTCTTACTCTCGGTAGTGCTAGATACAATTGTTTCCAAGTCAATCTGTTTTGTAAATGGAACTAGCTTTACACTTTTTTGATCTTCCTTAGTATCTGTCATTTGTCTTGGGCATTTTAAAATGCTCCAAGTATTCTGCCTTCGCAGCCAGACCAAATAAACCTTTATGGATCCCTTGTCGCAAACGAAATTTAAACGACCTGTTTTTCTTAAACCCTTACTAAAGGTTTAGGACTGTTGCTTTCAGGTGTAACAAGTGGTGTGGATTGCTGTAATAGTTGTCTTACTAATTCTTATGTATCGTGTCTCATGAAAACAGGCATCGGGGCCATTTTTCATGGAGGGACGACAGTCTACCGATTTTTTTTAACTACTCTCTAATTATGATATCATCCACGATTTTCACTTCAGTATGATATTCCGAAAATGCTTCCAAGGACAATTAGTAGGCTAGCAGAGCTCGCGATCTCCTTGGGACTTCCTAGGACTATTCAGTCAAGCAGTATAGAATTAGCTGTTATACTGCAGTTTCCAAATGTGAAAAGTGTAATCATTTCTGTTTGCATATCAAGTCATGAGTGTTTATTGAGTTATACGAAGTCACCAAACCGCATGAAAGTTAAATGAACATCTTAAATCGTGCTTCATGTGATTGTCTGAAATATGAAATTTACTCATTTCCTAACATAATACAGTCTAGAAAACTAGTGTTTCTTATCCAATCTAATATAGAGTTTGGGGTTTGGGTGATTCGACTCGTTGGAGTGGACGTGGTTTATGAAAGTCATACCTTTTGTAGGAATTTGGGGAGATTGTGCGAGCGTCAGTATATTTAACGTTTAACCATCATAACGAAAGAAGTGAAATATAAGAGAATTGACAGTATCTTGACGAGGTTTCTGATAAGGCGAATACACTAGTACTGCCACACAATAAAAACGTCCGAGGAATAGCTTCTAGACTCAGACACTTTTCTGTAGAAAGTGTGTTATGTTTTAGGGACTTCTTTTAACTAACTTCCATGCTAATGTTATCCGATTAATCCATCCCTGATTGTGAAAGGCAAAATACTTGAAAACGTTAATTGCTAAGGTTGGAAAATATATGCTTATTATCACGTCCCAGAAATCTTCATTAGGACACAATACTATTTTTCATTGAGCCACGAAACTATAAGGGTTATTTTCTGCTTCGAAAGGTTGTGTTTAAATAAAGTTACATGCGTCTATTTCTTACCGTCAAAGATAAATATAAGTTTCACGATAAGATTATCTATTATGTAAATACAACAACGCTTCCATGTTTTAGTCGTAAATTGAGGTTGTTTTCAATAGTTTGATGGTAATGTCCAGCGTACATTATGCGATGATATTATTCCCTTCTTTACTACTCTTCCCTTATGTACATCGCTAAGTTTAGTTGTGAATAAGTAGTTTTAACATTGATTTGATAACCATTACTTGGAAATATTAGGGAAACTGATTTTAAGTCCAAGTTTAAGCAGATAGATTGAATCTTTTAAATCTCGAATACAATGTTCCATATTTGTTTGATTTGTTTTATCTTACCGTTCGTCTGAATAGCATATGCATGTCCAGGATGAAATGACTTTGTTCTTTTTTAAGGTACATCGTATGATTAAGAAGCTATATAGTACCCATGATTATTATGACAATATATAAGTCTTACGATTAGTTGACTCTCGAAAACTAAAGGAGTTGTTATTGTTTTTGCTTAGATGACAACTTGCTCGTTTTGTGATTTTTTTGTTGTTGAAGGTGCTCTTAGATCATAACTGTTTCTGGTCTTTTTACATAGAAATTTCGGCTTACAAATATGATTTATGAACTAGAATACTTCTGTGGGACTTTGATTTGGTATTTTACAAGTTCTCTAAACTGTGATCATTCTTTTGTCTAGATTAAATAAGTAGTTCTAAACACATTAAGTCACTCTAATCTGAATTTTAAGTCAACTTCATTATATTTGTGTTGGTTCTTATCAAGAATTTTCATGAATTCAAGTATCTGTATACTAATACTTTCATGAGTCGATTTTTTCGAGTCTTTTTATCTACTTCACACATACTACTTTGGTGATCCCTATTGTTTATTTAACTATGAAACTATTATGCATGAATTAATCTAATGAAAATACTATACATTTATTCATTATACTTAAACTATTAACTCACTATTTAAATTATAGTTTTTAGATGTAGTGGTTTATATTTTCTAGTTTATATTAAACACTAACTTGTAATCAATTTGTTATTATATGAACTTCGTGTATAGGGGAATTTCAATATTATCCCTATTAAAAAACTCATTGTATGTTGGGTGTTGACCAAGAGGGCAATTCAGAACGTGTATTTATTCATGTTTAGTGCTTATAATATATATGTGGGAACGGTTTTATCACGATGCATGTTTCTACATCAACACTCCCATAGCCTTCGTGAAACCAGATCAGAGAGTTTAAGTTCTCACGGTGAATGTAATACTATTAAGCCACGCTGTAGGCTTCTAGTGAACCAATACAGAATTACATTTTTCTCATCCATTAAAAATAGTTGGTGACCAACATTGTTCGACGAAGGATCTCTTTGATTTTCGTTTAATTAGTTGTTACTTAACCTGATTTCCTTGCACACTTCTTATAAATAATTCTGCAGCCACAATCAGGCAACCTTCAAAGCCCTGGGACTCCCAGACGAGGTGTAGGTCCAGGAGCTGCAAATTTTGGGGGTGGAATCTATGGTCCAAATGTTGGCGGCGGAGCTGATTCACGAGAGTCTGGTTTCTTAGCTAAGTTAAACACACTGTCACGTTCACGAAGGCGGAAACAAGAAGCTGAAGAGTTGGCAGCTGAAGCACGGCAAGCTATGGAGGACCCTTTACTTCCAGCTCCACTCGATCTCGGTACTGATGGTTATCAGTTGGCTGAGGGTGAAGAACGCTCTATGATAGAACCTCAGTCAAAAGTTAGTCATACCATGCATGAATGCAGAAATTTATTTTTATTTATATATTATTTAATGCTTTTCGTTTTGTTAATTTACCTCCCGTTTGAAATACGATATGCTGAAAAAATGACGTTAGCAGAGCAAGTTTGGTGTTTAAAATTTAGTTTCAACTGTTTATCAATACTTGTACCTTTTTGATGATGATTGTTGTAGTTCTCTAAGTTTCAGCTCCGTACAATAGAACCAATTGTTTTAATGTTCATATTGAAGATACTAATTTTGATATTGGTTGAGAGTTGTTGCTTCAAGACTGGTTTGCGTCAACACCTGAACTAAGGATAGGGAGTGAAGTGGTCGAACGCTTCGACAACTTCACTTATCTTGGAGGTCTGATCAGCCCTAATGGATTGGTGTCTGACGAAATCTGAGCACGGATTCAGAAAGCTGTTTTGGCTTATGTCAACTTACGTCACCTATGGCGAAGGAGACATATCCGTCTATCAATTAAGGGACGAGTATACTGCGTGGCAGTTCGTTCTGTTTTACTTTGCGGCTGCGAAACGTGGTCATTGAAAGTAGAAGACACTTGTAAGCTATTAGTATTTGACCACAGATGCCTTAGAAATATTGCCCACATCTGTTGGGGTCACCGGGTAAGTAATGGTGAGGTTAGACGTAGGGTATTAGGGGGTGATGGTAAATCAGTTGATGAGGTTGTGAATTTTCATCGACTGAGATGATTGGGCCACGTGTTGCGTATGATTGAACACTGATTACCACGACGCGCAATGCTTACTAGTGTTGGGGAATTTTGGAAGAAAGTTAGGGGTGACCAAACCAAAACGTGGCATTAGTGCTTGAATACACTAACATCTGGTCTGAGCCATGTTGGTAGATACAAACTACTTGTTTGGGGTCCGCGTGACTATTATAACCAATGGTTGGAGACTCTTGGTGACATGATTCAGAATCGATCACAATGGCGTATGTGTATCCACTCTCTGTCTTCCCTTAAACTATGATATTTAAATTATTTCATATCTTTCTTTTTACAAACTAACTTCTTTCCTGTACTATATGCTTATGTGCAATCTTTCTTTTATATATTACACCATTGAGTTAATTGCTTCTTTGGATTTGATGCTCATTTTTTTGTGCTAATGGGGTGTGGCAACTTGAACCGATGCATATATGCGTCTGGTCCTACGTTGTGGCTGACTTACTGACTCTTAAGTTATATTATTCCTTTCTAACAGAGAATTTGATCATAGAAAATTTTTATTTGTCTCCATTACCTTTTAATTTTATTCCAATATATGTATTCTGTCTTGGTGGGTTGACGAAAACAAGGAAAACAATTACAGATAGCATCTACTGTAATACTACACAATTGGCTTCTTATCAATTTA